CCCCAGCAGCCAATCCCCTCTCCTGGGCAGAACTCAGTTTTAATTCAGGAATCCCCTGCCCCTGGCAGCCCACAAATCTGGGGTGGGTCCCCTGAACACCACCCAGGGCTGGCTCCCAAGGAGTCTTGTCCTACCCCAGCCCTCCAACTCCTCTGCCAGCTCAGAGATCCAGGCAGCACCAGCATGTCTCTCGTGGTGTCGTGAGTGTGGGGTTTACCTGGGGACTGAGGGAGCCCCATCAGGACCCTTATTTCATCTCCTGCCCAATATGAACGAGGAGCCCCATGTCCCAGTGGCCTCTGGCCATAGCCAGGGCAGCAACAAAGAAGGGGGAAATTATAGAGTAGTCCTGGTTGGCTAAAGCTGACTTACCCCCCCGAGACAATGAACAGCACCCTTTTGGACACTGGCCCCCATTCCTAGCAGGAAGGACAAGCCCATGGTTCAGAGGAGCTGGTGCTGTGTTAACAGAGGGCAGAGATACCACTCAACTACTTTCGCTTCCAATCTTTCTAGCAAGAAGGAGGGTCTTCGAACTGGAAAAAGGACAAGAATGTATGGCAGGGAGTGGAGTCCATCTCTGGTTGCTTTCAAGGTCCTCTGTCCTCAGAATGCTGGACGGTTTGCAAGAGGAGCTGGCCAATCCGAGCCAAACAAGGAGGGTGTGCTGAGAGCACCACAGACTAGTCCCAGACCTTGACCTCAATCGCAGAGAACCCCGGGCCCAGAACAGCCTCGCGAAGGCGCCTGCAGGTGTTTTGAAGACAATCAAAACAAGAGCAGCAGCAGTCCTGACCATGTGCCTATCCACAGACCCTGGACTAAGCACATCCACGGGCGCTGGTCCAAGTTCCACCATAACCCAGTGGAACGGGGACTATTATCATCCCCACTTTACGGATGAGTAAACAGAGGCCGAGAAAGGTTAGGGAAGATAAAAAAGCAAGACATAAGAAGCCAACATGGGAGTGCCTGGGTGGCTCAGTGGGTTAAAGCCTCTACCTTCGGCTCAGGTCATGGTCCCAGGGTCCTGGGGTCGAGCCCCGCATTAGGCTCTCTGCTGAGCAGGGAGCCTGCTTCCTCCTCTCTCTCTCTCTCTGCCTACTTGTAATCACTGTCTGTCAAATAAATAAATAAAATCTTAAAAAAAAAAAAAAAGAAGCCAACATGGTTTCAGACCATAGTTCTACGTACTTGTCATAATCTGTCTGCTCCCACACATTAGGAACTTTCAGGATTTGAACAGTGGTGTTTCCCCTCATCTTTGCATTCTTTAAAAGGTCAACCTTTGTGTCTCAATTTCAGGTACTCATGTTTTTATCCAATTTTCTTTTCTTCTCTTTTCTACTATGATTCCTAAGCCAATAAATCAGGGGGATGCCAGAGGCCAACCTCCTATATACATAATACCATTACTAATTCAAGTGTGTACTTTTTCCAGACTTCCTTAGTTTTTATCTAATATCCTACCCTTATTCCAGGATCCCACTTACGTTACATTTAGTTATGTCTCCCTAGGCTCTGTGTGGCTGTGACAGTTTCTCAGACTTTCCTTGGTTTTGATGACCTTGACAAATTTGAGGAATACTGATCAGGTGTTTTGCAGAATATCCCTCAGTTGGGGTTTGTCTGACATCTTTCTCGGGACTAGATGGGGGTTATGGGTTTTGGAAGGAAGACCGCAGAGGTAAAGAGCCACTTATGACATCACATCAGGGGTACACCCTGTCTACATAACTTATCACTGTTGATGTTGACCTTGATTGTGTGGCTGAGGTAGTGCTTCTCAGGCTTCTCTGCTGGCAAGTTACTCCTCCCCCCTTTCCATACTGTGCTCTTTAGAAGGGGGTCACTTGCACATCTGACACTTCACTTACAGGGTGGGGACTTACACGCTACCTCCTTGATAGGGAATTATTTATATAAATGATTTCTTTTGTATGGGAAAGTCACCTAGTATTTATTTATTCATTCATTCAACCATTTACTTATATTAGTATGGCCTCACGGTTGTTGTTTTTTAATACTTCGCAACCTAGTATATTTTGATGTGTGCAAAGGATTCTGGCATCCCTGGTGTTCTGGGGGGTAGTTGGTAAAATGTGGGTGACCAACTCTGAGAGGTTCACTGAACCCCCATATCTAACAAACAACAGTTTTCCACCGTTGAACACCAGTGGGTTGGGGAATCAGGGTCTCCACCTAATTTTTGAACAAATGAAATAGAAACTGCTCAAGCACATAGAATTTTGAAGGGATCCCTACCTGTGGAGAAATGACTTTCCTCCCTGTCATCAGTAGGGCAGCAAAATGTTTGTCTGTGGGTCTCAATCAACAATACAGGGTGAGGAGAACGGCCCCTACTAGGCCCTGTCCGTGGTCCTGCCCTGTGTTTACAATCAGCCTGCGGACTCAGACATAAAGCACCTGCTTCTCCAACCAGCAGGCAGCATAGCATTTGAGAGTGTCAGAGGTAGGAATTTAAATTCTATTGTCTAATTCAATGGGATGAAATGAACAAGATGAAGTTTAATAGGAATAAGGGCCAAGTAACAGGTTTCAATTCAAGAAATCACTGACACAGACAAGAGGCCTGATCTCTTCTACAAGTCAGGATTATTAAAAAGATAATTCCTGGAGCTGCCTGGGTGGCTCAGTGGGTTAAGCCTCTACCTTCAGCTCAGGTCCTGATCTCAGGGTTCTGGGATCAAGTCCCACATTGGGCTCTCTGCTAGGCAGGGAGCCTGCCTCCTCCTCTCTTTCTCTACTTGTGATCTCTCTCTGTCAAATAAATAAAATCTTAAAAAAAAAAAAGATAATTCCTTTTTTAGAAAAGGAATTGCAGTAGAGTGGAGAGGCCTAAGGGGCCCAACAACTGAGGCATCGCACAGCTCAAGAGAAAGGAAACTGGCTTAAACAAAACAGCAAAAATTGACATTTTGGGGCCAAACAGAGAAATGTGAATAAGGTCTGCATGTTAAATGAGATGAAAATTTACTGAAGTAGAAAGTGCTGATCATTTACTGGAAAAAAAAAATCAGGTTACAAAACAGTATGCACAGCATGATCTCATTTTATGAGGGAAATCTACATACAGGCATAGAAGCAGGGCTGGAAGGATGTGACCAAGGTGTCACAGCAGAGCTGCCTGGGAGATGGGAACATAATACTTTTATGTTTGCTTGCTCATATTTCTAATTTCCTACTGTGCATATAAACCACTTCTGTAATAATATAAGATTATGCTATAAAAAGAAGGAAATTGTGACCCTTCTCCAGGATTGAGGGGAATCCTGGTGTGGCAGAAGTTTCTAAAAAAGATCTTGGGGGTTATGGGTGCCAGAAAGACAATATGAATGGAAAGTGTGGTCCACCAGGCAAAAAGGCAGCCTCACCTTGAACACCTGCAGTTGTGTTAGGTGCTGGAATGAGAGCGGTCCTGCAGTTTTCCTGACCCAGGCCCTCTGTGCTATTACTATGAAAACTGAGTCACACAATTAGTAGATGGCAGCTCCAGGACCATAAGCCACAGATCTGGCCCCTGCTGGTCATATGGAAATGGCTGGCGCTTCAGGAACGGGGGTATTCGACCTGGAGGAGCAAAAATGGGAAGGAGTGGATGGGAAGGAGTGAAGGGGGCAGGAGAGCTCTTTTCAGATATTTAAAGGCTGCCCCATAGAAGAGAGACCCATGTGCGGCCCCGTGCCGAACGGTAATGACTGTGACAAGTGGGTTTGGCTCTAAGAATGCAGGAGGGAGAAATTTCCAACAACAGTAGTGGTCCAGCTCGGGGATAAGGTGGTGGTGCCTGCTGGGGACTCAGGTGGCCTCAGAGGGCGCCGCTGTGAGGGTTTGCCTTTGGGGAAGGGGAAGGATCACGACTGCTGCAGGAAATGTGGGCTCCAACAGGAACCACAGCACTGAGCTTCCTGGGACAGGGTACCTGGTTCTCAAACTTGATACCTGCCTCATCGTCTTTCACCTACTGCTCCCAAACCCTGGTCATAGAAGGGGGCTATGGAGAGATGATTATCTCTCATCTCCCCTCCACTGGGTGACAGAGAGGCATGGGTCCGATCTAACCTCATCCTGGCTTCTCCTGTGGACTAGGCCCGAGGTGCTCCAGGAACGAATACCAGTCAGTGGCCCGCCTGAGACCCTGGGCCCCCATACTCCCCATGCAGAGCCTGAGGCCTTAAGTGGCCTTGGAAACTCACTAGGCAGGGCTTCTGTTCCCAGGAGAAAACCGGAGTATGTGGGAGTGGGCAGTGACAGGAGGGTGGGTGCCCTGCCCTGCCTCCCAGACAGAGCCACCAGTCCCGGTGCCCATGGCACAAGAAGACACTAGCCGATGGGGGCATTTATTCATATCCCTTTGCCCACCCCCTCTGCCAACACCCACCCTCTGATTCTTGCCCTGATAACAACCAACAGAACTCTTGCTTTTCCCAGATAGACGCGACCTACCACGGAGACACTCTGCAAGCTTGGCTCCAGCGGGCCTGCGGCAGCGAACACCGCCAGGTGCCCACCATGCCTGCCCATCCTAGCCCGAACGAGGGTCACCGGGGTCGTCATCCTTCCCTGGGCGGGGTTGGTGCCGTCAGGCAGCAGAGCGCCCCTAGTTGGCCCCTCCACCCACTGGCTGAGGCCCAGCGGGGCGCACGCACCAGCCCCCACCCCGCGTCCTGGAATTCCGTTCCCACAGACCCGGGGCGGCCCGGAGGCCGGGTTCTGACAGCTCCTGCCCCCCCAAACATGGGGTGGGTTCTCACACCCATCAGAGGGACCCGCACTGCGGGGGAGGGAAGGTGGGCAGGGAGGCCACCCTGGGCTGTGGGGGAGAGCGGGGGTCCCACCAGGGCCGGGGATCGGGGGGTCCCGGGGGGACGGGGCGCCCACTCGGGCGGGGTTAGGGGCTGCCGCCAGCGGGGCCCGTCCTGGGCAGGCTGAGGGCAGGGACGCTGGCGGGGCCCGGGGACGCGGCGCGGCGCCCTTACCTCTTCGCCTTGGCCGAAGCGCAGCCCCAGCGCCGCGACGCGCTCCACGCGCAGGAAGCCGTCGGGGTCGCGGCCGCACACCTCGAACACCTCGCGCAGGCGGCGCACGGAGCGCAGCAGAGCCGCGGGGGCGCCCGCCCAGCCCGCGCCGCCCGCCATCCGGCCGACCCCGCGGCTAGCCCAAGCGCCGCGCCGCCCGCCGCGGGCCGCCGCAGCCCGCCTCGCGCCGCCGCCATCGCCGCCGCCGCGCGCCCCGGGCCGCCCGCCCGCCCGCCCGCGCGCCTCTGCGACGCGCAGCCTCCGCCCGCCGGCGGCCGAGCAGTGTCAGCGGCGGCGGCGCCACAGCCCCGCGCTCCGGGCGGGCGGGGAGGGGCGGCGGCGGCGCGGCGCGGAGGCTGCAGACAAAAGGAGCCGCGCTTTCCCGGGGCAGGCCACCTCTGCCCCGCCGACTCGGTTTCCCTCTGTCCCCCAAAACCGGAGGGGGGCGCGCGGCCCGGTGCCCGGTAACTCCCAGCTGCCCGAAGGCCCCGCCCTCCTGGAAGAATGCAGAGGTGAGGCCCGGGTCCCGCGGTCTCTCTTCTCTGCCTCTGCGCCCCCACCCTCCCATCCCCGCGCCCCGGGTGGGTGCCTAGCGGGCCTGAGCGCTCTGGAGGTGTTTGGTGTTTCCTACGTGAGCATCCAGTTGTTAGTTACATTCATCCGGGAGGAAGCGGATGAACCCAGAGAGGTTGAACTACTTACCGTAGGCCACACAGCTTGTGAGAGGCAGGGCTAGGACTGATACCCAGACCAGACCAGGGTGCACCTCGACTACTCCATCCTCCTAACCTGTGTGCTGCCTCTCCAGGCTTTGGACCACACAGCTGTCCCTAACAGCGCTTCTGGAGTCAGGTCGCTGCTGGGGAAGGACTTGCTGACCCCAGCCCCACCTGGGGGCCCAGCAGGATCTGGCCTGCCTCCTCTCCCCGCTCTGCCTTGTTGTTCAGTAGGCCAGGCCCCTGTGGCATCAGAAAGAGTAGCACGCCAGAGCTGGAACCTTAGGTGGAGGGCCTTGCCCCAGGGCAGCAAGAGGCCACTTTGGGGGAGCAGTGAGCAAGAAGACCCAGGGCCTCTCTCCTCTCCTCCTCTTTCTCCAGGTGACCCGACTCCCCAGGTGATTTCCAACAGCTGCCTCAGCAGGCCCATCTGGGAAATACACATGGAAGGAGCAGTGGGGATTCCAGCCCATTCTCTAGGGAGAAGCCTCAACAGGCTTCAGCTTCTCCTGTCTCTCCTCATCCCTGTCCCTAGAGCATCCCAGTTCCCTCCTGCCTCCTTCTGCCTGGGGCACTCCTCACTCCTACCTCCTCCCCCAACCACTTCCTCAGACCCACTCCCGTCCTTCCAGATTCCCTGGAAGTGGCATGGCACCTCCTGCAGGAAGCCTTCCCTGACCACCTTCCCTCACCTTGACTACCTCACCCCTCTGCTCCTGGAGCATTCTGTACAGATACAGACCGAGGAGACACCCTACAGATGGGAATAAGGCTGTGGGAAGGGTTAATCTATGTAAATGTCAGTCTCCAGGTAGTAGGTGCTAGCTATTGTGACTATCCTTGTGTCTCTTTCTCCCGCTACTTATCAAGAGAGCACTTGGGAATGGCTATGAAAGGTCCCTGAAGGCGGGGACTGTGTCATTTCTCCATTTTCTAGCTCCTAGCACCATGCCTAACACACAATTAAGGTCTGCATAGGAATAAACTAAGGAAGGAATGGGCAATTGCGGTGTGGTAGGCTGGAAAATACCCCCTGCAGGTAGTCACGTCCTCATCCCCAGGACCTATAAATGGTCCCCCTACCGGAAAAAGAGTCTTTGCAGACAAGATTAAGTTAAGGATCTGGAGATAGGGAGATTATCCTGGGTTATCGAGCTGGGTTCTAAACACAGTCACACCTCCTATAAGAAAGAGGCCGGGGCACCTGGATGGCTCAGTTGCTTGGGCATGTGACTCTTGATTTTGGCTCAGGTTGTGTGCTCTTTCTCTCAAGTGAATAAATTTTAAAAATCTTAAAAAAAAAAAAAAAAAAAAGAGGCAGAGGGAGATGTGACACAAACAGGAGAGAAGGCAATGTGATAACATGGACCAGAGATCAGTGATGCAGTCGTAAGCCAAAGAATCTGGCAGCCACCAGAAGCTGAAGAGGGAAGGCAAAGAATCTTCCCTAGAGCCTTCAGAGCGAATGCGGCCCTTGATTTTCTGGCCATGGGAACAGTCACAGAATACATTTCTGTTGTTTTAAGCCCCCTGGCGTGTGGCAGTGTGTCACCATAGTGGGGGAATCCCACACAGCTGGGCTGAAATCCAAGTTCTGCTCTCTTCGCCCCCTAATTCTGCATGACTTCCCTTCGCGGAGCCTCGGTGTTCCTGTCTGTAGAGTGGGGACAGGAGTTCCTACCTCGCAGAGGTCTTGCAGGTTTGTAATGAGAAAACGCACGTGGCCGCTGTTTGGGGTCCACTGTGGAGAGGTCTAGAACCAGTCAGAAAGGGGGAGGCATTTCTGATTTTCGGGTAAGGGCCTTGACTTCTTCATCCATGAAGTGTGGAAATAGGACAGGATCCGGTTTCTTCTTGCTCTCAACCTGCTGTTGTTTTTTGTTTTTTTGTTTTTTAACCATGAATAATTAGCGCTCTGGAAAGGAGGAAGGTGGTGTGAACTCACTTGCTTTTTTCACCTGGCCTAAAATATGCTTGGTCAGTAGAGAACCTGCTGAAGCAGCCGGCACTGGATGGGGGTGCCAAGGGCAGGGGCGGGAGGCGCCCAGGAGAGCAGGGCATCTACAGAACTTGTCCTCCCTTGTCTGGAGGGGTGCCCAGGAAGCTGGTGTTCTCCCTCACTGTGGGGTGCCCACGCAGAACCTTCCCCGACCCTCGCAAGGGAGCAGGCCCAACCTATTGCTAACCTTCCTTCCAAGATCCTAAGAAGAGCGCCCAAACCTTACTTATTCTTCCCAAGTGTGTTCCAAATCCTGTCACCTGCGGCGGAAATGCCTCCTAACAGTGGCTTTCGGCCGGGGGGCATCAGGTCCGAATTCCTCTGGGGTCGGGAGGCGGCTTCCAGCAGCAGGTCTCACCTACCGGAAGTCCGCTCCCCGCGGATCAGCTCATTGCCCGGGTTCCAGCGCTCTCTGCTGCCCCCTACTGCAGGAGAGAAGAACTCCCAGGACCGCCGCGGGAATCCGCAAACACCCTTCCTTGAACGTTGGACCCCAGCTGGGCCCTCTGTTCTGGAGGGCAGTAAGGCCCTCTACCATACTGTCGGTCCATTTCTGGAGCATGAGCCTCGACTGCAAGACACTGACGCAACACAGAGTCGATCGATGAAATGCCTGGCTCGTCTTAAGCATACCGTTCCCTCTGCCTGGAATGTCCTTCCTCTTCTCTCCGCAGCCGTCCCACAGAGGCCACCTCCTCCAAGAAGTCTTCCCTGGGTGAGCTGCCCTCACCCTTCTGTTGTTACAGAACTCCATGCAGTCTCCCCTGGAGTGTTTTCATGATGCTCCGTGAAGCCCCGCCCATGTGCTGACCTTCCCCTGGCCAGGGCGCAAGGCCCTCCGCGTCTCTGCTCTTCGGGACATTAAGGACAAAGGAATCATTCCAAGACCAAGAAGGGAGAGCTGACGCCAATGTCAGGGCCACACCCTCATCCGCGGACTCTGGTGTGATTGTGTGCACATTCACTCGTGTGTCTGATGTGTGTGTGTGGGCACACACTTACATGTATGTACTGTTAAAATACAGGTACACAGCCCTGGTGACCTCGCTAGACGGGGGTACCTTTGGATCTCCTTTCTTCTTTTGGGAAGACCCTTCCTCCGGCCTCTGAAGCAACACCAGCTAACCCTTCCTGAGGCCTACTTCCTGCCAGGCGCTGGCAAGAACCGAGGGCTCTCTATGAACCAGCTCTGCTTTCTCCAGTGGCTCCCGGAGGGCGCTTTGTTATTAACTCTATCTTCAGGTGAGGGAAATGAGGGGGGGGGTTGGGGAGGTGGGGGGGCTGGGGGGTGGGGTTGAGGTAAACTGCTCAAGGTCACAGAGCTGGTACCTGTGGGAGCAGGGCTTGACTCTAAGCAGTGAGGCCTGCTTCCTCTCCTCTACTTTTACCCCCTGATAGCACCCAAGTCTCTCTGTCTTCATCGAGCGGAAACCCTCCCCCCCCCCACCCCCACAAGGTGTGCTCAGAGCCTCCAAGTGTTTTGGCTGGGGAGTCAGACCGAGAGCGAATGTATCCCAAGGGCCTTTGTTTGTCCTGCAGGTCTCAGAACACACAGAACTGCCAGGCCCGATATCACAGCCTGGTGCTGTGACGGGTGCTGACACCCGTGGATGCCACCTGCTGACATCCTCTTACTCCCAGCATGTGGGCAAATACTCCACACTGTTGGGAGTCTGGCAGGCCCATCTTGGACTCCTGCTGCTTTTCATGGGAGGTATGTGACAGGAAGGCCCTGGGTACAGGTTTCTGGGGCAACTGGGTGACTCAGATCATCTCCCAGGGTCCTGGGTTTGAGTCCTACAACAGGCACCCTGCTCTGTGGGGAGTCTGCTTCTCCTTCTGCTCTTCCCCCAGACCCCCTCATGTTCTCTCTCTCAAATAAATAAAAAATCTTTAAAAAAAAAAAAAAGGTACGGTGTTTCAGACTCAGGGCTTGGGGTCTACATCCTGTCTTGGCCACTTATAAGCCATGTGACCTTGGCCAAGTGACTTAACCTCAGTGTTCTTATCTCTAAAATGGGCTTCACCCACTGAGCCACTCAGGTGCCCCCTTATCTCTAAAATGGGGATAATCCTGTCTACCTCACAGAATTGTAAAGACAAAATAAGAGCGTGTGTACCTACCCACCTCAGTATTGTCACAAAATACTGGTGTAAACAGAGTAATGTTTGGTGCACACAGTGCTGTTGTTCAGCTCTCTAGCTAATCATCATGTTGGAGTGGAGACTCGTGTCCCAAGGTGCCTGGAATATGTTTTTTGTTTTTTTTTTTAAGATTTATGTATTTGAGGGGGGAGGGGCAGAGGGAGACAGAGAGAGAGTCCCAAACAGACTGCTCACTGAGGGCTCAGCCGGACACGGGGCTCGATCCCAAGACCCTGAGATCATGACCTGAGCCGAAGCCA